TCCTCAGGCCTCAGAAGCTCCCCGCTAGGACGCCCATAGGACCTCAGCTCCCGTCGGTTAGTTGGCATCAGACAGCTGCAGCGATAGAGTATGCTATCCAACTTCTCGGAGATGCTTCGCAGCCCCTCTCCGACCAGCAGCGCCCCACCATCCTGGACCACGTGTGCTCCACCCTCGTCCAAGACCTTGAGCACACACTCAATGTGAAAACGGACGCCCGCCTCAGACCCAGCAAGACTCCCAGGGCTCACCCTTCCCAGATCCCAGATCCAGGTGGTCTCGGCGAGTGCGAAATGCTCCCAGGGGCGCAAGTGCTGGACGGCCTACTCCAGGCCTCTTCGGTGGCTCCTAAATCGGCTGCAAGATTTTTGACGCAGCATCCATGATGATGATCACCAGGGATTTCGGGACACCCTGGACAATCTGGAATCTATCCGGATAGTTTTAACACCTCTCCTGCCCTTGCTCAAGGACTGCAGGAAGTTCGCGTCGCCGCAGGACTGTTGCGCGAGGATCTCCAAGCGCAGAGGCTCAACGCAGGGTTGGGCATCGCGATTTTATATGAGCTGCTCGAGCAAGTCGGCAATACCATCGACGCTAAACTTGACGCCGAGCGCAGTAAGGACGGGCAGGAGTGGAGGGGTCGGGTTCACTCTTCCATTAAAGGAAGCATGGGATGGGCGCACAGGTGGACGAAGAAGCTCGATGCTTGGAAGCTTTTTTTCAGTTGTGCATCGCCAGCGGTTTTCTGGGCGCCCGCAGCGCATCCTCCAGGTTGAGGCCGACCGACTCGCCAAGATTCGGGATTTTCACCCTGAGGCTCCCCCGCAGTGGGTTCCCCAGACCGACGACAGGGTGGCCCTTGGGCCCATCGCCCCAGCTCGCCTTCGAAAGGTTTCCAGAAGCTTCCCACACAGTACGGCCTCAACTCTGGACAGAAGGCACCCGCGCCACTTCGCCATGATCGATGACGAGCAAGCCGGTTTAGTTTGTAATATGATTGAGCTTACCGAGCAGATTGGGCGCATGCCATCGCAGCTGCAGGATGTTATATCTACGCGGGTGATCAAATTTCAACAACAAGATGATATTAATTCCCAGCCCGCCTTTCGGTCGATTGGCACGCCACCTGCCCTTCATCGTGTTTGGGCCCGACAGCGGAGGTCAGCGGCCCGAGAGTGGGAATTTCATCACAGACGACCATTTAGTGCACATCCGGCGGGACATTCAATAGGTGAACTTGTATATGCATATTCACTTGAATGCGAATCTCATGCGCGTCAAGAGGAAACCCAACATCCCGCTCAAGTGTTATGGGGCCCCTCTAACTGCTACGAGCATGTAGATCGCGAGTGCCTTGCCCAGCGCGCTGTCGCTTCTGGTTTCCCGTGCTGCCTGCTACGCATTATTCTGTCTCAAGATGGAAGTGCACGTTTCGCTGCTATGCAGGATGCGCGCGTTAGTGTCGGCAAAGCGAGGGTGGGGGGGGATTGCAGGGTGCGGGTGGGCGGCGTATCTCGTGCAAATATATGTTCTTGCTCCCCTCGACCAGTGGGCAGCCGCGCACAGCTGCATTCGCCTCGCGATGTTTATCGATGATTTATTGTTGCAGTGCCACGCTGGGAGCTATGACGTAGTGATCAGTCAATAGAACATGGCTGCTCGGTCGCTAGCCAGATGCATCAAGCACGAGCTTAAGTGTCAGATCGATACCAAGAAGAGCCAGGTTTTAGCCTCCACCCTGGACATCCAACGCACGCTTCGGAAGACCCTCGGGGCGCACGCTGAGCCCTCTACGGACATCTCAGGACCCAACCTCGGCATTGAAAGCGGGGCTGGGCGGCCCCAAAGGTGCCGGCGAAAAGGACGGAAGCTTATGGAGCGCATTAACAAGATCAAGAAACGCATGGGCCGTATCAAAATGATTAAGCATGCTGGAGGAAACGGTAAGCAGTTGCACCGCATTTGCCTCGCAACAGCCACCACGTTCGGAGTTGAGGCCACGGGCATCAACAACACGATGCTCGCGCAGGCCCAAACTCATTATCTAGCTGCAGCAGGTCCTAGGTGTGCCTCGAGGAGCCGCACTCTCTCGCTCCCCATCCTCCAGGACCCCCTGTGGAAAGCGGGCCTCGGGCCCGCGCTAATGCGGCGCCGTCCTGTCTGGGGGGCCAACGCTCGCCCCGACACGGCCGTGGCCAGCCTCCAGCAGCTCAGCCTCTGGGGAGAGGCGGTGTTGCCGAGAGCCGCCAAAACTTGGGGCTCCTGCAGGGCCTTCCTCAGTGCGGCGGCCCTTTCGTTGGCCAGGGTGGGGTGGTCGTTTCAGGGTCCTTTCCGATTTGTGACTTCTGCAGGACTTGTGTATCCCCTCCCAGGAACCCCCCCAGCCTACATTGCCAAGCAGCTCGAGGTTGCATGGCGCGGCAAGTTAGCAGTGCAGGCTGCCGCCAAGATGGGACATCATGGCGACCAGCTTGATGTTTCAGCCCTCCGCTCCGTCCTCGCCTCAGTCGAGCTGACCAACCAGCAGCGCGGCACGCTGCTGGCCTTCGCCATCCACAGTATCTGGACCATGAAGCGCGCGCTATCAGCAGGATATGATGCGCCCCAAGGTTGCCCATGTGGACACCACAAAGATGATCTCCAACATCGCCTCCTCGAGTGCCCCGAGACTGCCCAGGCCAAAGAGATCACTAGTGGGGAGCTTCGTAGGTTGAAAGACCCGATCCCAGCCACCTCCCCTCCCCACCTCGGGTTTCTGTTTACGCCCGACTTTGTGGGCAGCCCTCCCTCTGGCACCGGCCTTGAGGCCGCTAAATTTTGGTGTCGAGACCCTAATTTCAAGCCTGAGGAAGCGTGCAAAAGGTGATGTCTACATAGATGGTAGTTGCACGTGCCACGGCCACTATAACCTCAACGCTGCTGGTTTTGCCGTAGTGTGCATGGTTGATGGGGTGGAGTTTGCCCCCTTTTGTGGCCGCGTTGGGTCCCTGGGGGCCCAAACCCTGGGGGGCCGCTGAGCACCTCGCCGCAGTCGCGGCAGGCAGGCTCGGTTCCAAACTCCAGACAGTCAAGACTCACCAAAATCTGGAATTGCCCCCCGATAGTGAACAGTTCCGTTTAGCCAGCGGCAACGATGCCGCAGATAGGATTGCCAAGGCCGCCGCGAACCTTGGCAGTCAACCCAGTGACGACGAAGTAGAGCAGCATCAGAAAGACACTGCCCTGTTTAAGAAATACCTTCGATCTGTGCCCAAAAAAACCCTTGGGGAGTGGCCCGCGATAGCCCCTCGTCGCAACAAGGCACTGGCCAAACCCGTGAAGAGCCTCTCCCCTCCCTCGGGGGCTGCCTCGGCCTTGGCCCCCTGGGACCCTGGCGCCCCGCCCTCCGTGGCCCCATCCGCCCTCTCCTCCTCCCCCTATCCGCCTCCTGTGGCCCCTCGCGTGACTCCGACGGCCCACGTCTGGGCGATAGTGAGTGGCCAGCGCCGACGCACGATTTGCCGCATCCGCGTCCGCACGTTCAAAGCATGCGAGGAGCGATGCCGAGCAATGGACTGTCCTGGACACTGCCCCCAGATGTCCAGCCTTGCCTCCAACCCTAGGGGGCATATTCTGTTTTATTGTGAGCACCTCGAGCAGCCAACGAGTGTCTTGGTGTGCCACAAGTGTGGTTCCGTTTAAGGAGGGCAGCTCGCGAGGTTTGTCTGGCGATTGCAATTTGAGACCGCCCCATAATGGGGCTAAGCTGCAGCTGCAGAGAGCACAGGCTGGCCAGTCAGATTGTGCTCAGTCTCCCTCCCGTGCCGCTGGCGCAGCTGCTCAGAGAGGCAGCCCACGCCAGGCAGGAGGCCGCCCCGCCCTAGAGGACAGGTGGCCCGAACTCATCATCCAACTGCGTGCTGGTCCTCCTCCTCCTCCTCCTCCTCCTCCTCCTCCTCATCCTCCTCCTCCCCACCGCGACTCATACTTCTTTTTATCCCTGCACCTCCCTCCGCCTCCTCCCTCCCCAAACCTCCTCCTCCTCCTCCTCCTCCTCCTCCTCCTCCTCCTCCTCCTCCTCCTTCTCATCCCTCCCTCCCTCGCTCCGTCCCTCCCGCCCTCAACAATTACACAATATGAATACGACTCTCCTCTCTCCGGGAGCCCCTTTTCTGCATTGAGCAGGCGATGTTGAAAGCAGGGCCAGCGGGTACTCTCCATCAGCCCCGCCTTGTGTGGAGCTTTTCGGGGAGCCCAAGGAGCTAGACATGGAGCCACGACTCCAGACCGGCCCAGACATCTCGGAGCCGACCCACTTACCTTCCAATGAACCTGGCGCCATGCCATGACATGTTGTGCGGTGTTGTGTTCTGCGCCGCTGTGCGATGCCATGCTTTGCGTTGCAATGCTTTGTGATGCAATACTTCACTGCGTAACGCCGCGCCATGCTATGGCATGCTACGCTCTGCCGTGCTCTTCTACGCCATGCCATGCTGTGCTCTACCATGCATCACGCACCCTCTTGCGATCATTGCCATTCTCGACATCCGACGGTGCGCACGGTAAGGGATTGGAGGGAGGGTCAGGACGTCAGATATGACGCGAGCGCACCTAGCTTGCCCAGCCCCCACTACGGGAGCGGCCAAGAGGGGGGTGTCCAAGAGGGGGGGGTGCAAATCATGACCGGCGGCATGTGCGCGGCCCAGCGGGGGGGCCTGGGACGTAGTGAAATAAGAAGGGGCGCCATGAGATCTGCGGAGATATCATGGCCCGCACCATGATATCCACCCCCCCCCCTAGTCATCCCCCCCCTCTTTTCCGCCCCCGACCACTCCCTCCTTCCCCCCTCCGCTCCCACCTCCCCTCCTCCCCCCGGCCACCGGGATGCGCCAACCGACCGCAGCAGCCCAGGAACGTCGGGAACCCCGCCAACACTAAAAACTTCGCCCCCCCGCCTCGCAGTTAGCTCTGTGCGGGAATGCGCGGGCCCGCGCCGGGCGGGGCCATCGCACTGCCGC